ATATATATGGCATCATGAATTCCATTTAGCTACTTACTTATTATGTTGGTTATTACGATAATTTCCGATCGGCATTTGATCCCAGCAAAACAACGCCTGTGCAAAAGAAACCTCATCTATTTTAATCATCTTCCAATCTCTTTTCGTCAAGACACTGTGACTAATGCAACTCGGGGCAAAGACCGCAGTAACATTTTCAAACGTCTGCCGCAGACTGTCGCCCATCTTATGTATATAATCCCATTGCTGTCTTGTCACTGGTGCAGCCACGTTATAAGCTTTCATCTGGGCCTCGTCGAATATCCATTGAAAGACAAATAATGGTGCTAGAATGTTAAATAAAAGAATTTAAGTCTTCATTGAAACATTATAATTTAAATATTATCGAAATTTTCATTATATAAGATAAACTCACCGGATAAAGTTGGATAGAGTCGATATCCAAAAAAGCATTTCCATGGCTCGTTGGGATATCTAATCACGCAATTACGAGGCATCTGAGAGTTCCATAATTCCATTCCTTTTTGTATCGCATCGATCGGCGATAAACCGTTCGGAGAGTAAGGCGCTCTATCGAGAAACCATCCGGAATCTGATACACCACGTATAGCAACGTGTCTCAAGCCTGTACGAATAGATAATTTTTATTATCATCTTTCGTATACACAAAAGATGGAATACTTAACAATAAAATAAATTAATGAGTTTTTAAGTATAGAAAAGAAATTATTTATCTGAACTTAAAGTCGAGTAATATCTTTAGATGACTCTATTTGATTTAATTGTAAAGCAAAAAGTTTAACAAAATTAGATATAATATTTTAAAAGATTTATATTTAAGAATTTATAAATATTAAAAACATAGAATGAAATATGAGAAGATAATTCGGTCTTACTGCCAATGTTAATGAAAGATATTAAGAAGATCAATTAAAATTTGATTAGTTTAGAAACAGTAATATTAACGATAAATATAAGTGATTCATAATTATCATTGATGTTGATTTGTTTAATTGGATTGTTAATCAGAAATACTTATACAGAAAAACTACAACAATCAATGATAATGATAGGATAGTCTAATAAGGACTATAACGGATAAATCGATTGCGACATACCCAATTCGTGATGTATCAGATTATGAACGCGATTCAAATTTAGCATAACGCCAGTGCCGCCCGCGCTGCTACCAGCCAAAAGAAAGGCGCTCGCGTTTTCGAGGCCAAGGGGAACCAAGTCCCGGATGACCTGGACCACGATTTCTGCGCCCATGAAGGAGAACATGTCATTCGACGATCTGAAGGCCCTAGTACCACTCCAGCTGTCACTCGTGCAATAAGGAACAAAACTGTGGAATAACGATTATGGCGTCGTTAAAGAAAAATATGATTAGTGACGCGATGTCGCGAGATCGACTATACCTAAACGAGATGGACAATACCTACACGTGATTCGTGCCCCAAAAGAATGGATTCTCATCGGGATTCGGCGAGAGCATCCCGCCCACTGAAAAAATTGTGAACACTTTTATTTTTCGACAATCAGTGCGGCAAAAGACTGCAATGCAGTCAAGCAATATATGTATATGCTGGTCCAGGATCACCTGTTGCCTTGCAGTTACAGATGCTGGAGAATAAATTAAAAAAAAGGATCGATAGTTATTAAATGTTAAAAGTTATAGAACTTTAGTAAATTAAGATTCTAGAACGCTTTCTCTCTTTGGAACGAACCAAATATTTTTTAGTTAATTATAATTAAATCTTTTCTAACAGATTTATTTTAAGATTTGAATTATAAAATTATCTATGATGAGAAAAGATATATATTAACATTATGTCAAGTTCAGAATATCTTCGATGCGCATCTGAATTTAATAAAAATATAATTTATGTCATTGATGCGATGTAATAAATTTCATTTGTGTATAATACAGTAAATTTTTATGTATTGATCCACGTCATATAATGTATATTGTTAAAACGATGCAAAAAGTAATGCAAGCATTTAGAAACGCGCATCCATGGCGGAACACTACACATTAATTTACGATGCAGTTCGAGTTTTGATGCTTGGATTCACGAGCGGAAAATCGTTTTCGTTCCGCGCGACGTATAATTATAAGTGATCGAGGTGACCCACCGTCGCGTGTCTCGGGCCACTGAGTTGACGTCATCAGATGCCGCATCCGCATCCACCTGGTCCTACAACTCTTGTGGTCATAGCAATACCAGCCGCCTTCCAGGTATATGATCCATCGTCTGGAACCGTGGGACTTTCGTAGGTAGAAACCAGCCTGTGATCCGTCATTACAAGTGATCGACCTGTTGCTTAAATACACTTTCTTCAGCGCTCTCTGGTCATCCAGCCCATACTTTCCCAAGTAACTCATCACTTTCCTTATCGTGTTGCTTTGGTATTCTATCGGCGAATCCAAGGAAACCGAGGAAACCGAGACCGTATTTGTTGGTTTATCCTCCGCAATTATTGTCAGGATCAAGGCCGCTAAGTACGGCGTAATCTGAAACATGCGTGAAACCTAAATAACTCACACACATATTATGCTTGTCTATCTGACATTAAAAATTTTAATTATCTAAACTTTATGTTGCGAAACATATTTCATAGATATTTTACTTAATTTAAATTTTTATCGAACGTGTTATTTCAATAGTCAATGTTCACGAATTTGGCTCTCATGTATATTTCCTTTTTTTTTTTTTTTTTTTTGTATTTTTTTTTTTTTCGATAGTTTTTACATGAACGTATCAGCGATCGGGCCAACGTAGGCCACGTAACAAACGAGCGACTGCGGAAATAATTTAAAAAAACAACGATAACGGAGAACGCCAAACTACACGACGCAGCGTCACCCTCCCTTTCCCTCTCCTTCTCTCCGACTATCGTACCCATCGGTGGCGCATTTTACCGCAACAACGTCCCTCGGCCTCCTGCCCCTCTTTCACGAAAACGACTACTTAGGATCAAGTTCCAGCTTCCAGAACGGTAGCCGGCGGCGGAAACACCTCGGAAACAGAAGCTCGGTTTCTCGATCTCAGCCAGAGATGAAAGCCCGCCGCCAACATCGCGGATGGTAGGAAGGAGAAACGTTGTTGCGACGCAATTATGATCGGGCATAATGGACCACAAACGGCGGATTGAGTTCCGCTCTGTACGGAGCAATGAGAACAAAAAAAAAGAGGAGGAGTCACTTCCCTCCTTCTCCGCCTTTCCCTCCGCATCGCGTCGTGACCGTGAAAGAAATGCGCCGTACAATGTTATGATTCAGCTGCGATCGCTGATCGTTGGTCAGGGGTTTTCTCGTACGAAATGCGTGTCTAATTTATGATCTCATTGATCATACACTATAGTCCTTGATATTGTCAACTGTGTGTACCGTGTGTCTCGCATTTGTCATATATTAATATTAATAGAAATCGGAAAATTCATTTATTTAAAAAAAACTGATTGAAATTTCTCTTATCTACGTAAGTTTTCGATCAATTTAAAACAGATTTTTAATCAATAATTTTTTTATTTAAATGTAAATAATTAAGCGGTAAAGAGTAAGTTAAGTTTTAAGGATACATAGCTAAAGACATAAAAAGAATAAACCTCTTTTAATTTTATTTAATTATTTGATTTTAATATATTTTTTATCTATAATTTAATTACTAATAATATCAGGAAAAATCAGAATAGCATATAAAATCTGTTCAGTAATAAACTAACATTATGATATATTTGGAAGCCAACTTAGCTTTTGATCTAAAATCATTTGTATTTCTTATTAAATTTAAAGTTTCTTTTACAGGGAAAAAACTATTTGTCATATAATTTTATATGCGAGATGACGAAAGCTTTTTTAAATTGTTGTTAGTTTTTTATCAATTCATAGAAAATCGTTAAAGAAGTTAAAGTTAGTTCAGTTTTGATATATCAGCATGAGGCGACATTCCAAATATTAAAAAAAAAAAAAAAAAAAAAAAAAAAAAAAAAAAATTAAAGAACAAACCGAGACGGAAAACTTTTTAAGATTCGTCGGCATTAAGTACTTGGAATACGCAACCATCCTTCCATTACCGTAAAACTTAAAGCTGACCGAAAGTGGCATGTCCCTCTCCCGTCTATACCTTTTGGCGTAACCACAAATTATCGGGAAAGCATAGCTACGGACTTGCAGCGATTTCGAGAATCCGCATCGAATCGAAACTTTCGGGGAGGTCATAAATAAAGTAGACGACTCGAACGGGGATGCTTCCACTCTGCGCTTAACCGCTTTATTATACCGTAAATCAATTCGTTGGGGTGTCGGACTGGTTGCGCAGGGACAGTTTTATATGTTACACTCTAAGGGAAGGTATTCAAGAGCTATTGAAAGAAAGAGCGATAAAAAGCTGCCTTAAACTCAAAAATATAATTCGGTAATGTTACAATGATGCAAATATTTTTTTATTTTTCAACAATATGTAATATTTGTTATTTACCGATATTTCTAAAATTTTCTAAATTTTTTTTTATGATGTATATTTTCAAATAAATAAGACCAAATAACAAATTATTAATAAATTGATTTATTTTAATTATAGTTTAAATAATTTTCTGCGTTTATAAATTGGAATAGATAATTAGATAAGTAAAAAATGTATATAATGTTTGCTATTTCTGTAGGAGAAACTGAAGCTAATTCGACATTACATTCTGTTTATATATTTACTGCAAAAGGAATGAATAATTACGAATTTCATACGCAAAATATGAAAAGTATGAAAAAGTTACCGTAAAATGTCTTTTACAACATATATATTCTTTCGTAAATTTTATTTAAATCGCATAAATATTACAATAAAAAAATTTGATTGAAAGAGAAGTTAAATAAATATTTTTGAAATTTTGATATTTTTCATTGTGAGAGAACAAAAATGTATAGTTATACTACTGTAGTGTGTAGAGAATAAAAGTATATTATTAGTTAAACAAAACTTTCTGTTGCTATAGAATAATTCTGTTGCTATTTTGTGTAATAACAGTTTAATAAAATTTTTGATAATAAGATAACTGAAGTCAAACATATGTAGAGATGCGATATATTGGCTCACATTTAAGACAAACTTGACACTTGTTTACCATGCGCGTGTGATTTATTACGCAATGAATGCCAGAGATAAAATAAAAATTTGTGGGAAGCTTTTTACAGATTTCTTTATGGTTTTAGTATAACCAATCGAAACAACTAATTCCGCCTGAAAAATTTTAATGCAATCCCAATAATGGATTAATAATGGAAGAATGAAAACCGCTGACAAAAGAAAAAAAAAGGTTCTAATCTCCTCTATATTTTGAAAGAGAGTAAGAAATATTATATTGCTTTTCTTTGACTGATTAAATTCTAATTTAGTATTAATTTTTATATGACAACATTATATATTATATAAAATATACTGATATACGAATGTTATAATATTATATAATGCACGATAAGGAAAATAGTCATTACATTATTAGCGACAAATTACAATTAAAAACCATATTACAACAATTTACATATATTATAAATCTAATATAACTTTTTATTACAAGAATTGATATTTTATTTCTTCAAAATGTTCCAATGTGCTCAATTTTTTATGACTGTTTCAATCATAATACATCGATTTTGGATTTAAGAAAATTTCCGTTGACTCGTTTTAAAATCATATTTCCCTTCTAAATACATTGTAATAATAAATATTACAGCTAATGTTACAGCTAAATATAATATTTATTAGTATATTAATCTCTACGGAAATATTTTTGCATAATTTTGCATAAGCTTTCCCTTAAGGAACATATACTCGAGGTATATTAAGGATTCTCAATCTTCTCTCTCTCTCTCTCTCT